AGCACGGGCCCTTCTCTGTAAATGCAATTGCCTGCTAAAATGACGTTCCTGGAGCGGTTTCACAAATACTACAACCTATACTACTGTATAGTGATGGTTTCTGAGCTCACACAGGACTCTGCTGTTCAGATGATACTGCCATCTTGTGCTTAATCGATATATTGCCGAATGTTCATCATAGGTGGTGCAGATATGCACCTCCAGAACGTGAGTGCATTTCCTATGTTTTATTGCTAAATAAAAGTTTAAAAGGATAAAGCACTATGTTGAGTTTTTTATAACCTCCCTAGCAGTCTGATTATGTCAGTATTTCTGTGCTCAAAGCGGTACATTGTTTTCAATGGAAATATGTTGTTTTTTTATTGTAGGCCTGTAATTCTTAGGAATAACTCACTGAAATCTGTCCAAACAAGGGTCTAGTAAACATCCCGGGTATGATAAAATGTGAAACATGAAATCATAAATTATAATATAATAAATAATCATAACAAATAATAATAATAATAGATTTAATTCAATAATGTAATAAAACCAAAAACACTGAAATTTGAAACAGATAGTTCGCATATCACTGAGCTTAGTCGCAAAATCATTTTCAGTGTCTGATGACGAATTTCCCTACGAATCATTATCACTCAATTCTGCAAGTGGTTCTAATTTACGATCGCTGTTCTCTAGCTGGTCTAAAACCGATTTTGACCTAAAGGGACGCTTTTTGGACGCCATGGACTCTTCTCAGTTTCCAGGCAGAAAGAACAGTAAAAATGCAGGCAGGGCACAGGGCAAAGCACTCGGGACAAAATGTATGTGAAATGGTTTGATACAGTAATGTAATATTATCAGATTTTAGTGTGTTGAGTAAATGTCAAATTTTAAATTTTTTTAATTTCCCGCCAGTTCTGTCCCCTGAACGTCCCGTATGTCCCAATGCTCACAGGGAACGGAACCCAGAAGACGGATGCCGGCATCAGCCGGAGGACATGGCCAGGGACGCTGCAGGGGGGACATCGTGGGACCACAGGACAAGGTAAGTGCTGGAGGGATTCCAGAGCAACGCTGCAGTGTAATCCCGAGTGTAGCTTGGGGTTACTGCTTCTGGTACTGAAAGTTAACCCGAGCTACACTCGGGAATACCACCAGGGGGGGTTAATGAGGATTACGGATGACACCAAGATGTTTATAAGGAGGAAGCATACTTTGGAGACCTCATTTAACAAGTTGATCTTTTGAGTCCAATTGGGACCAAAAGTACACTTAGACTGTAATATTGTACAATGTGAGGTCACACTGCGTGAGGTGAGCAGATATATGGTATAGGATGTTTTCTCACTGAAATTTGTGACAGTTGCACATAATTTCATTATCCACAGGGGGGTTTACATAAGAACACTATTTTGATTGGACTTCAGTTTATTATGACTTTTTTTTTTTTTGGTGGATTCAATTTTTATTCTTTGTTTTGGTTTGGGTGATTTTTGGTTTTTGGAATTTATTTCTTATTTTTCACAATATTTGATTCATAGGTATTTTGCATTTTTTTGATGTAGCGGAGCATTTTTTCTTCACCCTTTTTCTCCAAAGGTTGCTAGGGATTCCTTGAGCTGTGGCTATTTAACCTCTCATTGTATAGTGCCTGAATAGTTCTAGGGCCAACATCCTCTGGCAGAACTGCATGACATAAAAAATCTTTTAATCTGTCCATAAGGGTAGGGGGGGGGGGGGGCATTTTCATCACCACTGTAAGGGGTGCTTTCTTCCTACTAGTTATCAATGTAATGTACATTTTTTCCACTGACCCCTAATGACTTGGTTTTAACAGGGGTTCCTCAAGACCTGAAAAAAAATTACAAAGATTTAACTGGGGTAAAAAGGTTCAGAAAGGCTGCTTTAGTGTCAGAGTAAGAGTAATCAGAGTATGTCTGTGTGTCTATCTACCATCTGCACTGCATGAAAATGATCCATACAGAGGACTTGTAATTACTGCTCTTTATGTATTTCAATGAGCATAGATTTACAAGAGTATTGTCCATAACAAAAACCACCTAGAATATCAGCAACATTATGTATCCAGCATGACCCAGCACAGCTGTAATGTCCTACCATCCTTATCACTCCATAGGCCGCTCAGGCGATTGCATATACTGTACACACAAATGAGACCCAATTTCACACATACAGAATATGTAAGCACTGGGACCATCTCCCATTATATGACCACCACTTACTGTCTATGAATGTAATATGTTCTAATAAACCTTAAACATGGTGCCCATTAATAATTATTTACACAAATGTATGCATTTAAAGATTCCAGTAACTGTACTTCACCAACTTATAATGCATTTGATTTTGACACAACGCAGATAAACAATGCAATTTCATAGAGGTGAGAGCCTTGCCTTGACAAGTTTGCAATCTAGTGGACTAACAATGAAATCCAGACAGATATAAAATATGTATTTAATGCAGCTTTGTATTCATGAATACATCATATATAAATGGTATTTCTTTAAATGCTAGTGCAAGTACTTGAATTTAATTTGATATCAGTCTCTTGCAAATGCCTGTACAGCTGCTGGGAGAGGGAGGGGCAGTAATACTAGCCAGTCAGGTGTGCTATAAGTAAATATGTAGATAAGGAACATGCTGATAGGACATGGGAGCAGAGAGACCAAAGGCATGATCTCATCAGTCTACTGCTGCTCCTTCACTGTTCAATCAGATTGCTGGGGGGGAAGACAGAGGATACTACTGTATTCATTAATTAAGTGGTGTTATCCCCCTGGCTGTACTGTGGATGCACAATAATACAAATTGCTTGGCAAAAAAACAGCTCCAACAGATGTATTTTATCAGTGTATTTATGGTTTGCTCAGAGTTCAGCTTTATAAGATCATTTTAGTCATATTTAGGGTGTAATATGTTACTGTACAACTGCCCCCTCTCTCCATTGTGACAGCTAGTGAGGGATCTTCTCCCCCTGCTAGCAGTCACAATTTAAAAAAAAAGCAGCCAAGCCGGACTCCACCTGACCATGTAATTCATTAACTGAGTTATGTGAACGGGAAACTACAAGTCCCAACAGCCTTTGCGCCTGTTGGCTTGTAGTATTCAATGAACTACCATATCGCTGTTGAGTGCTGTGGTAGTTAATTGATCCTGTCAGTTTAAAACTGTCTGCCTATGCGATGTGCTGTACATGCAGACAGATTACACTGACAGTCTGCAGGAGGCCTGCATGCTACCAGCGATCTGCTGATCGCTGGTGCAATACTTTCTAGGCTTCTAAAACATAAAATATTAAATGCACATTTTTTTACCTGCAAAAAAATGTGCATTTATTATTGTTTGTTAACAGGTGAACTTCTCCTTAAGGGGTAGAAAACAGAACTAGTCGGTGCCTTTTCAGAATATGGATCAGGAAGCAGCACTGAACAGAGACTGAACACAATACATTAAATCAAGTTATATGCTTTGTCTGTGTGATTTTACCCTTGTAATGCCAAGAAGACAATGAAGGGTTATCATGTGTTAAAATTAAAAAAGCAGACTGTGCTTTTTAATGTAGAAGTGATTTGAGTGGCTTTAGAGCCACCCAATCACTTCTATGTGCCTCTAAACATTTTGGCCATCACTGGCTTTGCATATTTGTTATCTATTTTATTGACACAATCTCATCTTTTATATTTTACATAAAATTGGAGATTATAGTGTGTGCACAAAAATAATGTAATAATTTCTGATAAAGGAAGTTGCCTGGCTGTCACTGGATTTTATTACTTTCTGAGACACTGATGCAGAACAAGCACGCTGACCAGAAAAGTCAGAGTAAAGTCAGAGTTCCTAATCCACATATTTGTTCCAGATCGGTGACTCATATATCATTGAAGCATTTGGATCACCATGACAGCCACAAAACTACTATTTCCTAGAAGTTTCTGGTTTGCTCATTTGGATATTAACATCTATTGCAGCTTAAGGCCACATGAACACTGGGTATTTAGTGCATCTACTGACTGACAGAGACACTTTGTAACTCTTAAAGCTCTATTGAATTCAATACATCCCAGATACATTAAAATCAAGGTAAAATCTGGGGCTGTGGCATGGGCAGGCACCCCCCCCCCCCTCGGCTGAAGGAGGTGTTCACATGCAAGGCTGGGGCAAATTTAACGAGACATACTGAGTTGACAGGCAGCACCACCTGTCAAATTCATCCATTAAAGTCAGTCCGGCCATTTGGCCCACAATTTTGGCACATTAGCCTCATTATAATCGGTCAAAAAAAAATTAAAAAAAAAGAACAAAAAACAGGCATTTAGGAGGTGGCTTAGCAGCACTCTGGAAAGTAAACCACTGCAGGTCACTTGATCACTTTTCAGTTATCTGACTACAGTAAACCATGTCTTACAATTTGTTTCCTTTAGAAAGCAGTCACATCCTGAGTAGAAAAGCCTGTGCCCTTCCAGTAGCTGTCTGAGCTTTACATAGTTAGTCTGGCTGACAAAAGTCCATCCATTAAAAAGAAAAAAAAAAAAAAATAGTTGATCATGAGAAAAAAAAATCTCAGCAAAGCACGATCCAATTTGCTCCTGTAGGGAGAAAAATTCCTTCCTGATCCCCCGAGAGGCAATCAGATACTCCCTGGATCAACTTTACCTATGAGTATTCTCAAATCAGATAGGACAATGAGCTTTGCTCTTCATTGAGCTATAGGTCTGATTCAGTAGGAGGGGTGTGTCAGACCTCTGCAATGGGGCGACTGCTTCCTCACAGAAAGTAAGGTTTTCACTGCAGTATGCTGGCAGGGGACATGCTTTTCTATTCAGGAAGTGGCTGCTTAAGAAACAAAAATAACAGTTTTACATTGAATATCTTTTGTTTTGATACACACTGAAGGCATTTATATGTGTACTGGGCTTAAATATTATGTGAATACACCAAACATATCTCTACTAGCCACATGATCAGGCATACGGCAGCATCATATGTAGACTTACCTTCATCCATGCCATTGAGTAACTCAGTCAGCTCCTCCAGCTTGCAGTCATATTGATGCTCTTTCCATGCCTCTCCATTCTCACTTCTCAGTACAATCAATTCTCTCTCCTTACTTCTCATTGATCCAAAATGGGGAATTTCTACTATCACAGGTCTGCACAGAAACAAAATACATGCTTTCAAACTAGAGCACCAACAGGCATTCTATTGTACGTTTTGTGACACCAAATACGTTAAAAGCCAAACATAAATGACATTTAATCAAACAATTACAAAAGCTGCATAATCCACCAAAATAGAATGACAAATCAAATTTCAAATAGGACAGATCCAGTTGGTTCTAGCAACTCACCACTGTTTTAATTCATTTACCAATTTTAATAACTACATTACCATAAAAATATAAAGTCTGATTGTGCAGCTTTTTGTCTTGTTAATAGACAGTATCTATATTTTCCTACAGAGGTTGTACATACGTTATTCAAGCTTTGCAGAGCAAAAAAAATGTACAACATCTTTATGGCAGTTTTCAGGTCCGAAAGAGGAGATTTGTAGAAGGAAAAAGTATATCATCTTGTGGACCACATCTGCAAACTCCGTTTTAGTCATTTCCTATGTAATACTCACAGAATTAAACTGTTTACAGTAAATCATGAAATCTTGACATTACAATCCTTTAGACATACAAACAGCGTAGACTTGACAGATTCAGCCAAAGAAATGGATACAGGGCAATGGTGATGTCGATACAATCTTTGCAGGTTAATAGGTCAGATACTGTCTGCTTATTGTCAGAGATCACATAATCAGTGTGCATGGTGTAGAACAAGACTGTTCACAGAGAAGGTATTTCATTGTCATTTCATTATCTTAATTTTTCCCTACATTTTGTATTACCAGTAAGTATGAAAGTAAAACATGCTTAAAGCTATGCCAGGTCTAAGAGGATTTTAGGATAAATCTATGAAACAGCACCTAATGTTGTATGCTGTAAGAAATTTACATAGAAGGAAATGCACCATGGTTGATAGTAAGACATTACAGAGAGAAGCATTTATTTAGATACATTCTAAATATAGCACTCCATGGGAAGACAAAGTAAGAAATACTAATATCATATTGTCGAGCCATAATTTGAAGAGATAGCCAGACAGAAGCAGAAGGATGCCAAACAAAAAATTATGGGTCCCTCTTTGATGTTACTCCATTGTTTATCCACATTTGCCTTGTCGCCATAAAATAACCTGGCAGTAACTTTTCTCCATTAGGAACTTAATGGGGTTCTACAATTATGGTAGACTTGTTTTCCAGCTACAAAAGTTAGCTCTGTTTCATCCTACGTTCTACTGTTCAACTACCATTTGCTTCAGAAGTGTTTTCACTGGCATCACCAGCATTCCTGACATTATTTAATTTATAAATTCCCAAACTTATTGATCAACTTCCATGCCACTGCTCTTAAATAGATAAACAGCTGTACTGGTTCTGTTCCCTTAACAGATGGGCACATAAGATCAAAAGTGGAAAGGATGACCCTCTCCACATCTGATGGGTCTTCTTTTCATCCTGGGACCCTGTATGATGACCAGTTTTTCCTAGAGCCAAACCATCCATAATGCAACCTAAGCAAAAGTCTAGGCCCCAGGAAATGTTCAGGAGGCCCATCTAAAAACCTTCATACTCCTGCAGTATTTCACATAGTATTATTAGTCAAAGATGTGTCACTTTGACTGGAGGATGCAGTTGGATATAGTTAGTAGCTGATGGTGAGGGGCTTTAACAGTGCAGACAATGCAAATGGGGCTTTCACTGTGCCTGTTCCAAGTTCTCGTCTATGTAAATCAAAAGGATTGTGGAAAGGCAAAGATACCAACTTGCTAATGACCCCATTGTGTCTTAATCTGTATGTGCTGTGCCCTATCAAGAAGAGATAAAACGTTACTAATTTTTGTACCTGTTGCAAAAGTCTTGCTGTAGTTTGAAACTCAGGTGAACTTTATTATAGGATTATTAATTAGATTATAAAATGTAAGCATGTTATATACAGTACCTCTATGCAGGTTTATTAGTAAGGGAGTGGAAAAGTAATGATGCTGAACAGGGTATCCCTTATGAAGATATGTTTCACCTTTCATTAGCTTACAGAATTCAAAAATTAAAGAAGATTGATGAATGTTTGTTAAGGTTTACTCTGCATGTAAATAGGTGAGGAATGAGCTATTTTCACCTACAGTCTGAATATGTCTCTGAACATAGCTCAGACTACATTCAATAATCTGTAAACACTGTGGCACATATGCAGTATGCAACTAATATACTATAGATAGCTAAAAGTATAATTTACATTGCTGACAATTAGGTATTCACGGATTCCTAATGCAGCTATAGAGTTGTGAGAAAATGTTTGTAAACCCTTGGGGACATTTCGGAAATTTAGAATTAACAGTTTGCAAAATGTAATAATCTGATCTTCATGTCCAAAATCATAAATTAAGGCAATTTAACAAAGCCATAGCTCAATAAAAAGTATGTGAACCTCCAACCTGTAAATATTAGCCCTCACCCTACCCAGGCTGTCTTGAAATGCGGTAAATTAACTTCTGGCCCTTCAAAAGAAAACTGTTTTCAGTTCTGAACATAACTGGCATAACTGTGTTTAAATCTGAGGTGCGAACTGTCCACTGTATTTAACTCCAACATCTGCCCACCCTAGAACACAAGTACCTATAAGACACTGTCTTATATATTTTTTGGCTTAAAAAAACACACTAGGTCTTATTTTCTGGATAGGTCTTATTTTTTTAATGTACAGGTGTGGACAGGGGGGTGCAGAGGTGAGCTGCAGGCAGTTGTGGATGAGAGTCACTATAGAAAGGGCCAACTGATAACAGTTGTGAGCTGCAGTTAGTTGTTGCAGAGGTGAATTGACAGGTGAGTTTCAGAAAAGGTGCAGAGATGAGCCCCCACATCAGGGTGCAGGGGTGAGTTGTGGACTGGGGATGCAGAGGTGAGCTTTGGCTGGGGGGTGCAGAGGCAAGCTGTGGCCAGGGGGTGCAGTGCTGAGCTGTGACCAGGGGGTGCAGAGGTGGGTTGCAAATCAGCCCACCTCTGAACCCCCCAGCTGCAGCTCACCTATGCACCCTGTCTGAAACTCACCTGTCAATTTACCTCTGCAACACCCGACTGCAGCTCACCTTTGCACATCCCCCCACTCTCCCTCCACTGCCCTCATATGGTTAGCTAGCTTTGCAAAACACAACTGTCAGCAGCCGATCCCTCTCTGTAGTAACTCCCGTTTCGGGTCCTATCTTCCCACACAGTGCACCAAGCGCACTCACTCACCGCCTACTTCATCCCACTGGCCAGTGATCACCCCTGGGGCATCAGCTTCCATGCATTAGGTTGCAGGGTGAGATGCCCCGCCCCCCTAAATACACTGCGCCCACAGATATTTGTTCCTTCCCTGTCCCACAGTGAGTACAGAGGTAGGAAGGCTCTGTGGGAGCAGATGATGCTGTCACTTACACGAGGGACTGTCACTTGCAAACACAAAAGCAGCGTTTCTGTATTTATAAGAGACATTAGCTATTGGTGTGCACAGGGCCAGTGCTGGAGGTGGTGGAACGGCGTTCCGCCACGTTCCAGCTGGAAAAAAGCCCTGATCACAACTAGGTCTTATTTTCGGGTAGGTCTTATACTTATGCAATTCCCAAAAATAGTACTAGGTCTTATTTTTGGGGTAGGTCTTATTTTCGGGGAAACAGGGTACTAAAGAATTAGGGCATAGGAACCATATTTAAACGCAGGCCACCTCAGAATGAGTTTAGAACACTTCTTAAACAACAATGTCCTGTACTGTTGCATTGTGATAGTCAAATTTGGTCAGCTGACATGACATAAATGTGCAAAAACTCTTCTGCTGCAAAGCCTTAACTCCCCTCCTACTATATGCCACCAAGGTTTTAAAGTAACACTAAAATCAGACAAAATAGATATAAAGATATAAAGTAACTGTTCCTACCCCCTCTGTGGGATCTTTTAGTGAATTTGTCCAATGTTTTGGGAGCATGGTAGCCCCTGCTATAAAGGAAAAGAATACCCGAGGTCCTGCAGAGTGCCTTGACCTTAAGTACAAGGTCAAAGTCTAAGGTGAATTAGCCAGTTTTCAGGCAAATAACATAATAAAAACAGGTTCTTGAGTAACTATGGAAAAGCTAATATAACCATTAAATCCTCTGTGGAAAACCCATAAAACACATGTACACTAAAAGGGCAATCATTTCAAAAAGTTCCCTTGCTCAGCATTATCTATGTTTGTGTAATGTTTAGGCTATATAATGTTTTATTGAATTTCTCTGTTGAGTTAAAGCCTCACTGTCTGCTCTACTTTACCCTATTTCTAGTTCACAGCTCTTAAAATAATTACACCCACAATAGTATCATACCATCATAATCACAATGTCACTCTTCACTCATTACCTAGTTTACAGTCTGTGCTACGTTTCAACAATATACGTTGTCTAGTTTATTGAATGTATAAAGTTGACAGTACAAAGTCTGGGTCAATTCCTTTGATTGTTTGTCATCTAATCATTAAAATATCCATGAATTCTGGATGCTTGTGGCTTGATGCATATGATTTTCACGTCTGCCAAAAAGTAGGGAAATATTACCCTACTGTTTGTAAAGGTTTCCATAGCTGCCCAGAAAATGTTACTATTAATATATATGATGCTATGCAAGATGCCGCTGTTTTGCTTGCCCTCCATTTAGACCAGCCATTCTCAGCCAGAGTTCTGTGGAACCCTAGTGTTCCTCTAGAGGTTGTTAGGGGTTCCTTGAGCTGAGGCTGATTGATTTGATGGTGCTTGCATAGGTCAATAGTCAATGCCACTTGGCAGAGCCAGCTGAGTGACACCAATGATCTTTTTAGCTATGTGTAAAAGTGACATCTGACCACCACTGTAGTGGGACATTTCCAGACATTTTTTGTTAGTGGGACATTCTCCACATTAGCCACAAATGTAAAACGCATTTTCCCACTGACCACCAATGAATTGGTTTTTTGGAAGGGTTCCCTGAGATCTGAATATTATTTAATGGGTTCCTCTGGGGTTAAAAGGTTGAGAAAAAGGCTGCTTTAGACAAATTAAAT